GCGAGACAGAGCATCTTTCGCAGCAAAGACGACGCAGTCACGGCAAGGTTCAGGCAAGAGATCTCCTCTGCAGAGATAGAGTCCGAATACCATGTCAGCGTCTTGATCCTTTGTGATTGTGAGGCTGTTAGATCCCATTTGGAAGAAAGCAGCGTTGGAAGACAGGGAGGACAAAAGGGTTCGGAGATTGGAGAAGTATGTTGTGTTTCTTGATATCCTGTTAGTACAAACCTGGCCGACGTAGGTCGGGTCTTGTGATTGTGCAGAAGCTCTCAAGCTTGCAATGAAGAAGGTGAGAAGGAAAACAGAGATTAGTGAAGTAAACGCAGACATTATCCAATCTCTTCTCCTTTCTCTCTCTCTCTCTCTCTTCTTTTGTTCATTATTGGTTTATGAGAGTACTAATGAATGGATGTGAAACCAGCCAGCCACAGTCTAAGTCGACGCCTTTTTTGTTTGTAAAACAATACAAGTTTCATGCAAGTCAAAGTCAACTCCACGAATAACATCAACTTTTATTGGTTAATTATTTTTTTAGAAAAGTGACTCAGCTAATTATTTTTTTAGAATAATATGTGAATGAGAGAAATCCAGAGAAAATAAAGTTAACAAATGAAAGTTGTTATGAGTTGCATAATATTTTGATAAGAGATATTTGATAATTGAGTTGATGACTATTCTGCGAGGCGCGGAGACTTTGGGTGAATGTGACAGCAGCGTTTTACTTCCTTACTAGACAAGTAACAAATGAAAGGTTAAAAACTTAAAACAGTAATTTTCACAATTCAAATTCATCCAGTTCTATAGTCTTCATTGCTTTAGAACCAATCAATACTCTAGGTGTAGTGTTGAGTGTTGACTTCACAAAATAGTCGTTGACTTCCTAAATTATTGTACTTTACTTTGTTAATTTTACAAGTCCAGAGCCAAACTGTGAAGAATGGACCGGTTGTAATTTTTTTTATACATTTATATGCAGACCTTTCAAAACTAGGGACCACGTGGATAACAAAATAGACAATGTCATTTGGACTGAAGAAATTTCTTATCCTTATCAAGATTCATGGTTTATGATTATATACACAGTGACCTGAAAAGAAAGTAATATTCACCTATATTTTGATATGAACCCAAGAAATTGTATATTTTGGTTTATGAGATGAGTTTGTCTTTAACAAGGCGTTACATAAGTAATCGATGCATCATCAATGGAACAGAGAGCATACTTATCCATTGACAAACCTGCTTCTTCATGCTTACTTCGGAAGAAAAATTCAGGTGGCTGAGGAGCCGCCAGGGCGATCGAGCTAGTATGAAGCATTTCGACGATCGCTGACATTGTTGGACGATCTTTAATATCTTCTTGGACACACAATAAAGCGATATGGATGCATCTACATATTTCGTTTCTTTGATAATTCTCTCGAAAGGATGAATCCACGAGCTCTAGTGGCCACCCATTGTTCCATAGCCTCCAAGTCTATGAAACATTTTAAGACTTCTATATTATTTACTATACAGTTAATATAATAGATCTCAAGAACTAAAACTTCGAAACTGTAGACATCTGATTTCATTGAGAAATGGCCGTTCATCGCATACTCGGGGGACATGTAACCCCTGAAACAATAGTGTATGTTGAGTTAGTAAAAGAAAAACACAGTTGATCCAATACATGGCAAAAGCAAAACTTACTAGGTTCCAACAACTCTTCTCGTGTTTGCTTCGGTTTGGTCCATCTCGAAAATTCTAGCCATTCCAAAACTGCAACTTTAGGGTTCATATCAGCGTCCAAGAGGATGTTACCCGCTTTGAGGTCACAATATATGATTGTAAGTCGTGAATCTTGATGAAGGCATAGAATCCCTCTAGCAATCCCACCAATGATCTTGTACCTTGTTGTCCAATCCAGATGGCTATGCAACGTAGAGTCTGCACACAGCCATAGTTCGAATCTAAAAAAAACATGAAACTGAAACTTTTTTGGCTAGGAATTGGTTAATCTTACCAAACAAGAAATAATCAAGGCTTTTGTTAGGAACGAACTCGTAGACAAGTATCATCTCTTCTCCTTCCAAACAAAACCCTAGGAGCTTGACTAGATTTCTGTGTTGAAGCTTTGCCACAAGAAGGATCTCATTCTTGAACTCTTTTCCACCTTGTCCAGAGGTTTTAGAAAGTCTCTTCACAGCAACTTGTAACCCATTAGGAAGTGTCCCGTGGAAAGATTGTGAAGTAAACACAATTATCATCATCACCTTATTTGAATCTCTCTTATGCAAAATCGTAATGAACCTTGTAGACTTTTCCGAATCCACCTTGACCGCGTTTGTTACGTATAGAAAACTTATCTGTGGCAGCTTCAATAACCTTAAAATCAAACGGCAGTGAGCCCGCAGTTGTAATATCATCCCCTTCTGCAAAAAGAGAATGACTCTGTTTTAAGGATTTAGCTTCATACAACTTTAAGCAGCAGCACATATATATATATGGATCCTTACCATCATCTCCATCTTATGGATCTTCAGACATGACACATATATTTCAGTTCGTTTTGGTTTCGAATTTGTTTAAAAAAAAAAAAAAAAATTCGGTTCGGTTCGGATAACCAAATGGTCCAAATCAGAATTTAAACCTGACCGATCAAAACTGAAAACCGATAAATTTGGTTTGATTCGGTTCGGTTACTTCGGTTTGGATAAAAATCCCAGGACTAGTAAATAGAATCAAGATTCAAGACCGTTAGAGCTATACACCTTTGTAGCGATATATGGTACTGTAATTGGTAGTGGTATAAGTGAAAACAGGAAAAGTTTGGGATAATTGGTATATGGTAACCCATACAAAAATATTGTAAAACAGCCTGCGCATACAAGATAATGATGAATCAATTAGCTGTTGGGATAAGTTATTCTAAAACAAAAACTGGAGAAATGTGTCTAGTCATAATCATAATCTCATAGAAGCATAAAAAAGGAAAAATAAGTTTTAATTATCTTGGGAATGTTATTTTTGTAAACTGTGAAAAAGGAATATTCTCAAGAATAAAAATGTAAGAGATCTTGAAATGTATTGGACATCATAAGATACATAAACATTTAGCTTTGTAAAGTAATTTGTATTATGTTTGAATTAAAATAAAAATGGAAAATATCATATCCAGCAACATTTAGCAAAAACACCATCTATGATAATCTTTTTTTTTTCTATATTATATATAGAGAAATATTATTTTCTAAAAATCACAGCTAATAATGTTACCAAACAAATCATATATGGAAATTTTTTTCTATAATATATATAAATCATATCTAATACCATTTACTAAAAATCATGTATAGAAATGTTTTTTCTATATTATATATATAGAAATCTTATTTTCTATATTTTTAAAGTTTAATCTTATCATATACATTTAATGACAATTTTTAAAAAATGTTTTAGTAATTTTCAAAAATACTGTGTATACATATATTTTCATATCTCTTTTATCCTTCTTGTTTATATGTATACTATCAATATCTGTCTATTGTTTACACAGATTTGTTTCCCTTTTTAGTTTAGACCCAACAAAACTTTGAATGATTTGTGACTTCTGCTATTGTTATCGTTATTCACCATTCGATTTCATATATATATATATGATACATATTGCAAAAAACAAACATTAATCTAATCTATTCTTTATCTCTCTCACTCTCTCTAGCTCTATCATCTTATTCATTCTTTTGATCTTTCAATATTGAAAGATCAATGAGTGATAAATCTCAGCCCCCCAAAAAAACACCATATGCGGCTATGAACAAAGCCCCGTACAAGGCTGCTTGTATGAGGGTTAAAGCACTTGACCCAGTTAAGGAGGATTCAGAAGATACTGATTCAACCAGTTCACAAGAGGTAGCTGTGAGAAGAACCCCCTACAAGGCTGCTTGTATGAGAATTAAAGCACCTGACCAAGCTGAAGAGGATTCAGAGGATGCTGAATCAACCAGTTCACAAGAGGTAGCTGTGAGAAGAACCCCCTACAAGGCTGTTTGTATGAGAGTTAAAAAACCTGACCCAGCTGAGGAGGATTCAGAGGATACTGATTCAACCAGTTCACAAGAGATAGCTGTGAGAAGAACCCCCTACAAGGCTGCTTGTATGAGAGTTAAAGCACCTGACCCAGCTGAGGAGGATTCAGAGGATAGTGAATCTGATTCAACCAGTCCACAAGAGGTAGCTGTGAGAAAACCCCCCTACATGGCTGCTTGCATGAGAGTTAAAGCACCTGACCCAACTGAGGAGGATTTAGAGGATAGTGATTCTGATTCAACCAGTTCACAAGAGGTAGCTGTGAGAAGAACCCCCTACAAGGCTGCTTGTATGAGAGTTAAAGCACCTGACCCAGCTGAGGAGGATTCAGAGGATGCTGATTCAACCAGTTCACAAGAGGTAGCTGTGAGAAGAACCCCCTACAAGGCTGCTTGTATGAGAGTTAAAGCACCTGACCCAGCTGAGGAGGATTCAGAGGATGCCGATTCAACCAGTTCACAAGAGGTAACTGTGAGAAGAACCCCTTACAAGGCTGCTTGTATGAGAGTTAAAGCACCTGACCCAGCTGAGGAGGCTTCAGAGGATACTGATTCAACCAGTTCACAAGAGATAGCTGTGAGAAGAACTCCCTACAAGGCTGCTTGTATGAGAGTTAAAGCACCTGACCCAGCTGAGGAGGATTCAGAGGATAGTGATTCTGATTCAGCCAGTTCACAAGAGGTAGCTGTTAGAAAAATCCCCTACAAAGCTGCTTGTATGAGAGTTAAAGCACCTGACCCAGCTGAGGACGATTCAGAGGATAGTGATTCAACCAGTTCATAAGAGGTAGCTGTGAGAAAAACCCCCTACAAGGCTGCTTGTATGAGAGTTAAAGCACCTGACCCAGCTGAGGATGATTCAGAGGATAGTGATTCATCCAGCTCACAAGAGGTATCTGTGAGAAAACCCCCTACAAGGCTGCTTGTATGAGAGTTAAAGCACCTGACCCAGCTGAAGAGGATTCAGAGGATAGTGATTCTGATTCAACCAGTTCACAAGAGGTAGCTGTAAGAAAAACCCCCTACAAGGCTGCTTGTATGAGAGTTAAAGCACCTGACCCAGCTGAGGAGGATTCAGAGGATAGTGATTCTGATTCAACCAGTTCTCAAGAGGTCGCTGTGAGAAAAACCCCCTACAAAGCTGCTTGTATGAGAGTTAAAGAACCTGACCTAGCTGAGGAGGATTCAGAGGATAGTGATTCTGATTCAACCAGTTCACAAGAGGTAGAAGTGAAGTCAAGGAAGAATAGTGATGAGAGAGAAGAGCCAAACAGCAAGAGAAGAAGGACAAGTAAGAGCTATACCCCTAGAAGATTTGATCCCGATGAGCCAGAAGTTAATGATACAGTTGCAAATCTGTGCAACAATGGAGGATCAAAGAAGAACAATTCCGATAAGGTATAATGTTATAAGAACCAGAAGCAAAGACATCAGAAGAACATGGTTTCTGCTTCGTCTGATGGTTCACCGTCTTATTGTTTTTATCTTCATTCTTCTCTTCTTTGTTGGCTCTTTTCTGGCACCAGTGGCTTTACCCGAACCAGCTGAAGAGAATTTAATTTTCGAGAATGTTTTTAGTAATCTGTTTTTTTTTTTTTTTTTTAAATGTAATCTGCATGTTGAACTTTTATCCAATGTTTCATTTGAACTTTAATCTTTTTAATTTCCTACTGTTATCAATAAATTACTGAGATTGGTGTTTATGCTATGGCTTGTATTTTCAAAAACTTAAAAAAAGGTAAGGTATCATGTTTGTAAGATTGAATCTGATGATCTATATAAATTTTATGACTACAGTGGCACTTTTGATAAGTTGGGAATAAAGTTTTTGAAGGGAAAATCATTTATAGATTGGTAGATAGGTTTTATGATTAGAGGGGCCATTTTGATAAGTTGAATTAGTCATTCTTTTAGTTTTGTCTTTAATACATGTGGCTAAATTGATCACTTAATACTGATATAAAAAAGTCATTACTCAAACATCACTTGGAAGAATTGCTGTATAAACTGCGAGAGTTGATTTCATACATTTCAGTGAAACTATCGAACATGAGCGTGACATTACTTATTTAGCTTTTCTATTTGCTGCCAGAGCAGATCTAGGACCACTAGGTTAAATTAAGTTAATTCTCAGTCACGAGGGTGGATTAACAAATATTAGTGTTGCAAGTTTTAGGTTGAAAAGAAGAGATGTTAATTGCCTCTAGGAAATAGGATCTGAATAGTCTAACCAAAGTCGTGTTTACAGTTTTTTTATGTCTTAAGCCAAAAAAAAAACAATAGTGTAGTGTTAAATATATTATAATAAATATATTACAAAATCTTATGAAAAAATTATTTATTAATAAATCGGTAGCAAAATTACTACAAAACATATAAACAAATATAAAGAAAGAAAGATTGAAAATTTTAGAAGAAATTAAGTTGAAAATTTGGTTTTTGGTATATATTTGTAAAAAAACAAATTCATATCATATAAAAAGAAATATTTATTTTTATTAAATAGACACGGCCTTGAATCTATCTCACGAGCCCTTAAAAATTTCCGGAATGCCCAAATCTTTACAACATTTATCTTGTATTCTGTAGATTAGACATAAAATACTACTACAATTGATTGTTGTTCATATATAACCATTCTAGTGTCATTGTTTTTAGGTAAAACTTCATAGCACACACAATTTCCAAATCATTTTGTATGAGTATAAATGTTTATAACTGAAAATGTATGAGAGAAAAGGTGTTGATAAAGAGACATGACTATCCAGAGCAATTTCTTGAATTAGTACTGTTAAAAAAGAAGTTGTACAAAGATGAAAAAATATTACGTTCTTAAAATTGGTTATAAGTGAAAACATGCAAATCAATGATAAAAACTGGTTATAAGTAAAAACATGTAAACCAGCAATAAATACATATTAGGAGCTATGATAGTTGACATTTCAATTAATTGTTAAAATGCAGTGTGTCGAATGTCAATAATATTGTAAAAATAGATATAAAACCTGAACAAATTATAACGATGGACTGCTATGAACTAACGGCAATATTTCATATTTATATATGTACTTCTGTATATTAAATTTTATTTTGGTTTTCATAAAAGTATAATATTTATTACTGATTTTGTTTTGTCAAACAAATATTTTTACTGGTTAAGGTAGTAATAGTAAACCTAAATTCTTTTATTTTAATTTTAGATTTAAAATTGTTGATATTCTGTTACTGCAATTGTGGCCGACGTAAGTAGGGTCTGGTATTTGTGCAGAAGCTTTCAAGCTTGTAGTGAAAAAGCTGAGAAGGAAGAGGTAGTTTAATGAGGTATAAGCAGACATTATCCAACGTGAAACCAGCCAGTCAGTTTTCCCTCTCCTTTCCTCTCTGTTTAGACTGTTTTTCCTTTTCTTTCTTTTTTTCTTTAATAGATTATATGAGTACTAGTGAATCAATGTGAAACCAGCCAGTCAGTGCGATTTTTCTGTGAAATAATACAATTTCTTGCCAGTGAAAGTCACTCCACGAGTAACGTCAACTTTAATCGTTAATTAAATGAATAATAATAATCATCAATCAACTGTTAGTGAATGAGAAAACTAAAGAAAAATAAAGTTACCAATCATCTTTTTTGGGACGTCTATCAATCTATTTCCGAGTAAAAATCAACAAACTGGAGACCGTGTGAATAAGACATCACCGTTTTTACTACCTTACCGGACAATTAACCAAAAAAAAATCCTGTTCAAATTTTAAACAGTGATTCCACCACAATCGTAAGTGGTCCTATTCTAGCCTTCATTGCTGCAGAACCAATCGACACTCTCAGTCGAAGTGTTGACTTCACAAGATAAGCCATTGACTTCCTAAATTATTATAAATAAAACTATAAATAAGATTATCTTTTACTTACTTGCGGTACAGTTACACTATAGGAAAATGAACAAATATGGAAGCATTTTAACTACGACATATCTTTCTTCTTTGTCGATGACAATTAGGGTTTGTGAACCGTTTTTTGTCTTCAGCGTGGAGTTACTTGAGTAATGGAAGCATCATCGATGGAACAGACAGCAGACGAATCCATGGATAGGCCTGCTCCTCCTACTTGTTCATGTTTACATTTGAAGGAAAATCCAGGTTTTCTAGGAGTTGCGAGAGGGATTGAGCTAGTAGTGAGCATCTGGAGGATCACTGACATAGTTGGACGATCTTCAGCCTCTTCTTGAACACAGAGTAAAGCAATATGGATGCATCTGCTAATCTCGTTTGTTTGATAGTTATCCTCAAAGGACGGATCCACGAGCCCTAATGGCGACCCGTTGCTCCACAGTCTCCAAGTCTATTGAACATTATAATAATTAAAACTTTGCTCACTTTTATTTGAAGCAAAACAATATTTGGAATTTTTAAAGAGGGGTATACTCACATATGTAACCAAATTGCCTGAACTGCCATCCATTTGGTAGAGGGTGCTGTTCTTTTTCCCGCTTATAATTTCAAGAACTAAGACCCCAAAGCTATAGACATCTGATTTTGTGGAGAATTGGCCATACATTGCATACTCTGGAGACATATAACCACTGTGACAAATCTCAAAGCTTGAGTTGATAGAAGCATGTTACATGTCTAAAGGTAATATGTGATAAAATAGAAAACTTACTAGGTTCCAACTACTCTCTTTGTATTGGCTTCTGTTTGGTCCATTCCAAAAATTCTTGCCATCCCAAAATCTGCAACTTTTGGGTTCATATTAGCATCCAAGAGGACGTTACTGGCTTTGAGATCACGATGGATGATTGTGAGTCTTGAATCTTGATGAAGATATAGAATTCCTCTGGCAATTCCTCCAATGATCTTGTACCTTTTTGTCCAGTCCAACCGAGTCTTTAGTATAGAGTCTGCACCATCCGAAGTTCCGAACGGTGGTCTAATGATTGGGCATGAATAATTTTGTAAAAAAATGCAGTAAGATATTGTGTTAACTTACCAAACAAGAAATAATCAAGGCTTTTGTTAGGCACAAACTCGTAGATAAGTATTTTCTCTTCTCTTTCAAGACAAAATCCGAGAAGCTTGACTAGATTCCTGTGCTGAAGCTTTGCCACAACAATAACCTCATTCTTAAACTCTTTTTCACCTTGTCCTGACGTTTTCGATAGTCTCTTCACCGCAACTTGTAATCCATTAGGAAATGTGCCCTAAAAATAATATATATGAGTTTAAACCAAAACCACTACTCTGTTTGTGGAACTAATTTCGAAGCTCAATGAACTGGTAAATAATACCTTGTAAACTTGTCCGAATCCACCTTGACCGATTTTGTTACTTGCCGAAAACTTATTCGTTGCAGCTTCAACAGCTTTTAAATCAAACTGCAGTGACCCGGCAGTTGTAATATCATCCCCATCTACAAAATCAAATGCTCTTAAGTGTTCATATATCCATAAACATTTGAAGTAGCATGGTATATAAGTTTTTTACCATCATCTGCAGCTGCTGTCTCGTATGTCTTCTTTCCTCTCTTGGGCCTCTTTGCGTGGAAACAATAACATGATATGAAAAGCAGAACAGAGACAGCTAGCAGCACAACAATTGCTATGATTATCACTGTTGAGTTTCTGCCTTTTCCTGTGTAAAAGACATTTCCAAAGTCTTGAATCAATCTCCCAATCCAACAAAATCTTATAGAGAGAGAGAGAGACAAGAGAGCTCTTACCAGGCTGACGAGGAGAAGGAGGAAGAGCTTGACGTGGCGGCAACAGAAGAGTTGCGTTGAGGCTTTGATTGTAGAAAAGGTAAAGCTCGTACCTTAAGGTACAACTCGGCCAAAGAAGTCTTCCTCCGATTCTGTCAGGAGTCAGTTGCATTTGATCGATGCTTCGTTGCAGACAGCTTGAGCAGCTCTCTTCTGTCAGATCAGGCGTGCACTGAGCCATTGCATAAACCGTTTGAGACGATGTGAAGTTCTCCTTCTTAGCCGCAAACTTTCTTGGAATAGCAGCAGCCTCCTCTGCAGCATTTTTCAACAAAGAGAAGAGTACCTTACTGAACCTATCTGATTGGTTTGCCGCAACATGCAGATCGTTCATTAATAACCTTCCAGTAGTATTGGTGATAGGATTCGAGAGAATATCCCGGTCGGAGTATCGAAGCATGCAGTCGGAGTAATAAATCAAAGCCTCTTTCCCATTTGGACACTGACTCAGAGTGTCATTGACGGCAAAACTGACGCAGCCGCCGCAGTTTTTCGGCGACAAGTCTCCGCGGCAGAGGAAAACTCCGAAAACCGTGTCTGAGCTATTACCCTTGTTTAGGCTTTGAAATCCATTGGAGAATGACAGATGGTTGGAAGAAAGAGATAACAAAACGTCTCTGAGATTGGATGAGTATGTGCTGTTTTTGAGGTA